TCTTTTTTTGTCTGTCTGTCTGACCGCTTGACGGAAAAATCACTGGAGGGTTTTATATGAAATTTTGTTATGATGATACTGGTTATCCGGGTTAAATATAGGAGAATATACGTCAAAACGTAAGTAGTGACGAACCCGAGCGGAGCGAGGGTGAGTCGCTCGTGTACATATGTAAGGATCAATTAACTGGTAAACAAGTTTATTTTCCTATATTTTTAAAACGATTTATAAACTACTATAAACTTCTGAATTATCGGATGAATCTTGTACTTTTGGTTCAAAACCATTATGTCACGGACAAACTAATCATGCTGTTTGACCATTGTTTCCCTTCAGTTTTCCTGGCATTGTGCCCTAATTCACCGCGAAATTCAGTACCTACTTACTATCTATATAATATTGTTTGGCCAGACCCTTTCTTACTCACGTTTTGTACGGGTTGGTGCTAACAGTTCTTTGATAAGTGTAATGAGATGTATTTTTCATTAAAAACGTTATCTAAATTTAACATTATGTGCTTTGCTATTAGCTCCAACAATTCGTGCATCAAATATTAAGGACGCATTGGAAGAACATCTCAAGGATATATCCCATAATGAAGAATCTGAATCTATTAAATTGGATAAAGAAAAAGCCGAGAAAGATCAACCACTAGACAGCCTTGTTAAAGATATCCATTCAAATCATTACTCAAAAGCTAATGATGACACTAAATATCTCAAAAAAGATCAGGAAACAAAGGTATCCTCAGATAAAGATGCGTATGGTGGATACAACACTAAGCAAGATAAAATTGAGGATAGCCGTACCGATGGGTTTAAAAGGGGATACAAGAAGGGCATCAAAAGCAAGGATTTCAAAATTCGTATCATAAGGATGAGTCATCCAATAAGAGTACATTTTTTGATGATTTTAACGATGAAGGTGATCAAGCTGGCTATAACAGCAAATTAAATAAACATGATAACAATGGTGAAAGAAGCTATGAAGGATCACATAATAATGGTCAAGAATATTTAAGAAACAATTTCCAAGGAGGAGGTTCTAATAAATATGGAGATATCGGAAACAAACATGCCAATTATCAAGATTACGGTAAGAAGTACTACGTTGATAATTCTGAAAATTACAATAAGTATCGTAACGGTCACGGTTCCTATGATCGCGGCAAAATCCATGATAGACATCATTACCAAGCTCCCCCAGTTCATCAGGATTTTGATTGGCAAGACTGGAATCATAGACGAGATTGGGAAAGACCTGGTTGGGATAGGAGTCGAGGATGGGAAACAGATTATGGAGGTCCAGGATACTATGATGACCACGGTATCCGACATGACGGGGGATATGGCTATGGTCCTAATCATGGTTACGGCTATCGTTACGGGGAGTCGCGGGCGGAACCTGTAGCTGAGGTACCAGTAAACACGCCTGTGGTTGCTCAAAGGAAGCAGACTATCACCATCTACGAAGATCCAAGGTATTCTAGTTCAGAAAAGGGACAAATGAGGCGGGAACAAGGCGACTATATAGAACTAGATTTTCAACCAAGTTCCCACCGCTACGCAAGTTATGATGACACATACTACAGTCTGCCTTCACGAGAAAAATCTGCAGAGAGCAGCAAAATCAACAAATTAGTGTATAATTATAGACGACAGTAAGAAAATAAAGTGATTAAATAGTAACACGTTATCATTTGTAGAATTTATATATATATATATATATATATATATATATATATATATATATATATATATATATATTATATATTAATAATATAAAGTTCATTAAAAATGATTACGATTAATAATAATTAGTAATGTCAAGACATGAAGATTTAGAGTAATAATTATTTATTTAAGTAAAGATTTCGTATGAAGTTTATGATAAAAGTTCATTTTAATGGTTTTGTATATTCATATTTTTACTTCGACTGTTTTTTTAACAAACTGTTAAACAATCAAACCAACAGTAATAAAACACCATCGATTAGACTAATTTTGCATAAATTCTTATTAAATAGCGATTTACTCTGTAATATATGTGTTATTTGATCATGGTAATATCGAACATTCATATCACATATTTGCTGAAGTTCATTCAACCGAGTAGCTCAAATACAGGTACTTTGAAGAGAATATTTCTCGGGGCAACGTGACGGACAGACGGTCATTCGGGTGCCATATTTCAATATGGTACATCTGCTACAGTTGAACGAGTCGAGCTCTGGAACCGTGATGAATGCGTGGAAAATCGGGGTCGTTGGGGCAAGGATTCTCGTAGCTAAGGCTGTTAGAGATAAACCGAGCAGTGTATACGGCTATTTTAAAATAATTAATTTTGCTTAATATGTGCACAATGTTGTAACAAAATGAAGGAAGTAAATATATATATTTAATTAATTTATGAGATATATTAGGTAATTTATATAATATTTCCATTAGAATTACATTTAAAAATGTTTTCCCGATACACTCTAAAATTGTACCACAAGGAATTAGTTACAGTTAAGCATAAAGCATGCAATTACTTACTGATAATTAAATACAAATAAATAAGTTAGCAAACTATTTAAATACAACATTATTTATTGAAGTGTAAACTTGTGCAAAACCTACAATGTCTTTGACAATATAACTTGAGTCAAGTTTCCGGATTATTTCGCTTTATTACCCCTTCCGCTTTAATTAAGCGAAGTCGTTATTGAGGCACTACCCACTCGTAGATATTTTTCAGTACTTTTATTTGTAATTTAAATTTTGCAACCCTTCGTTGCGGTTCTGTAGGGGACTAAACTAATTTAAAACGTTAAGCTCTCGTAAAGTCCTTTTGTATTATGTATGGTTTGATGATATTATAAAATAGGATATAAGTGTAACATTTTCAAAACTTTGTATTGTTCAATTTCATTTTACTTTAATAAATAATTTCCAATGCTACCCATAGTAACTTAGCAGTAGTAAAGGTAACGTAGCGATTAGCTATCATAGGAATTTTTGAAATCGAATCTTTCGAAAGAATGAAAAGAGGCAATGAGACTTTGTATAAAACAATATTTTCAGTTATGAAATTTAATAAAAAGATAAGCGAACATGCTTATTATACATATTTAAATAATTAACTTAGGTACGTTTTTAATTAGTGCTGTCAATAATCCCTATGCTCTTTTACGGACATAATATTCTTATTAAAAAAGTAAGTTTATCTATAGATACATATTATAAAATTGTAACTAAGTCGAATCTGTACATTAGATATTTTTTGGAAATCTTATTGAAATAAACATTATTATTTATTATCGATACAGAGCCCGAATCTATAGTTTTTAGAATTTTTGTCTGTCTGTTACCGCATTACAGAAAAACTACTAGAAGGATTTTGACGAAATTTGGTATGGTGATAGCTAATTATCCGGGCCAACATATAGAACTTATTACCGCGGGAAAATATCTCATTTCTGAGAAAAAATACAAAAACTACAAAGTAAGAGTATACTAGTAGGTAAAACTTAAGAATTTGGTTTTTGGTCATCTGAACGCGGGCGGAGCCGCGGGCAATGCTAGTTTTGTAAATAAAATAAGCGTGTAATATATTCGAACACAGTTAATATTCAGAGATAAATTAATTCAATGAATTACAAATTCACAAATAAATTCGGTAACTGTTAGTGAAGGACATGCATATTGCCAGCCAATCTGCAATTTCAAATATCCAACCTCTTATGTTACTTTGTCTGAATGAGTAGTCGCTTCTATCACAAATTGTTTATTTTTAAATTCGCCTACCAATGTTGTAAATCAAAGGCTGAATTTTAATTTATGTAAAAAACGTGTAACAATATTTTACCTACGTTTGATATTTTTGAGTTACTTCTTTTATTTTGTCTGGTTTTAATTTTGCCTAAGCTAAATTACGAGCATTTGTCTCGAGAACTAATATAAAAAAAATAAAAACTTTTTAACAAAAAAATAAAAGCTGACTTCAAACAAAAGCACTAAAAAGTAAAAAAATAACTGATTGGTAGTTTTCATTTACTATACGAAATCGAAATCGAAATCGGTGCCAGCCTACAAATACATACCTAAGCAATATTTTCGAAATCCGATTTCGAAAATATTTGATTAGGTATGTATAGTAAATGAAAACTACCAATCAGTTATTTTTTACTTTTTAGTGCTTTTGTTTGAAGTTGGTTTTTATTTTTTTGTCAAAAAGTTTTTATTTTTCCCTTTTTAGTGTAGACAGTAGTAGCAAAAAGAAAAATAAGCCCAAACTCAAAGTATCTACTATTAGTCGTTGAAGAGTTCCACCTATCCACCTTCTGGCCTTACCATCAGATCAGGTCAACAATACCGAACCACTGTACTATCAACGGAAATAGAAACACTTGCAAAGTTTCAAGTCGATATGACAATTAGAAGTAGGTTAAATTCATCATTAGCTATTTTTCCACCCTTAGGGGTGGTATTTTTTTGAAATTTAAATGGGGCCAATCTGGAAGTATACACTTTCAAACAAAGCAAACATTGTTCAAATTGGTTAATAAATGACGGAGTTCTGAGGTAGCAAACTTAAAAAAAAATACAGCCGAATTGAGAACCTCCTCCTTTTTGAGGAAGTCGGTTGATTAGGGTACCGTGATCGAGATTCTCTCTTTTTATTAGACTTGCTAACGACTTATCTCAGAGCACTAAAGCAATTTCAAAACGACATCCGAATAACATGCCAATAATCGTTAGCAGCGATTGGAAAACAAAACTGTGATTATAGGATATTATGGTAGAAATTTTGTCTCTTTTTCTCGTGGTGGCATGTGTAGTTTCGTCTCCGTCGTCTCGAAAGGGGAGGGCGATAAAGTGACATTACTTAAACGAACTTTCGATGGGCCATGTCGAACAGGGCTGCCTCTCAGAATTAGAAAGAGCTTGCTTTAAAATTTTCTATTACATGCGTGCTGTATTTCCAAAATTTTATATAAATACATACACAATACACATATCAAATTGTGTAATATATAACCTCCTAATATATAAACCTCCTAGCGTCCAAGGATATTTTAAGGAAATTTTTATATAAATACATATACATATCAAATTGTTATACTCATAATATATAATTATGCAAACAAGAATCTAGTTACATAATAATAATTGATTCAATCTGCAAGACAATAATTGTCTTGCAAATTGAATTTATAAGCACCAATATTATTTTCATTTAAAACAGTGAACAAAGATATTAATAAAAAATATTATAGATAATATTTTTTTTATTAATTAGTAGCAGGTCGCGGACTCGTCATAGAAAAAACCGTATTAATGCATCATCGAGCTATAATAAACATATTAAAATCCGAGTTCATACGGAATTCCATCTTTATTACCGCAGGTATTTTCTCGAAATAATAACATATCGTTATGTGAACTCGAGTATTAAAATTGTTTTTGATGCTTTAAAATAAAAAATAACATCAAGCAAACTGCAAAATATGAAACAGAAACAATAAACATTTTCATTTATAATATTAATAAACGAAAGGCCAATCTCAGAGCGTCATTCCATAAGTCGTTAAAAAGTAAGTCTACGTAACAAAATCATATTACTGACAAGTTATTTCTTAAGTAGTCTCCCTGTCCCGGTTCTCGCGTCCCGACAGAACAATGAAGTCTCAACTCGCTTATCTCGACTTTGTTTATTGTCTGGAGTTGTCTCGATGGCCGTTTTGTTACAGATTCCCCGACAACTCGGTTTAGATTAGCAAGTTACTCCTTCTGTCGTGGTGCCATTTAAACGATACGACCGTTACGACATTACGATCTAAATATAAATATTATATAGATTTGTTATGCAACCTACACTTTTGTTAATTTTATCATTGGTTTGGATTCATAAAATATGAAATATTTATTAAGTTTATTATATTATTTTAAATATTTTTTAATGAATTATCCTTAAATAAATACTTGTGTATAATATGTATTGATTTAATGTTAATTTATATTTATGCAGGAACTTTTGCTTTTGTAACAAATATAAGGACTAAATATGGTTTATATTTATATTGTAATTCAAACGTACCGTTGACTTAAAATCTATAAGTTTTTGGAAGGGGTATATATTCGTTCATTCGTGACGAATCCGCTGCCTGTAGCTAACTAATTGCTATGAAATGAACCGCTCCCGCGGGACCCATCGCCCGATTTTATTTAACTCGGAATAGCCTAACACGAGTAGAACAAATTGTCTCATCCCTGAAAATAACATTTAATTTTAAACTGATCTTTATTCAAATTAAAATATTGCAAATTTTTTTATTGTACATATCCTCAACGTCTTTGAAGCAATTATGAATATTAGGTACCATAAGTAAGTTAAGTAATTAGTAGTTTTATATACTATAATATGACTGTATATTTGTTAGTAACAAATGCGTTTATTTAACTTATCCGTGCGAAGTGATTTAGTACCTATCATAAAAGTAAAATAAAAATATTTTTGGTTTCTAAATATTATAAATAAACCCCGGAATTAATTTAAATACCTATATATATATATATATATATATATATATATATATATATATATATATATATATATATATGTATGTCTAAAACGAAGCCAGGGCAGAACGTTAGTATACCTACTGTATAGTATAATA